GCCCATAGCAGTTTGTCTTGTGTACAAGTTAGCAGAGTCCACAAATTGTTTGGGGCACAGGTTCTGAGTTAGCAAGAAGTGATCGTTCTGTTTCTATACAAGAGGAGGACAGTAAATACAAGTTGAGTGATTTTTTTAAAAATAAATATCTCCCATTAATTGACCCAGTGGTCCTTTCTATATAGCAGTGTAATCACCTGAAGAGTTTTATTTATTTATTTTAAGATTTATTTATTCATTTTAGAGAGAGCGTGAGCAGGGGGAGGGGCAGAAGGAGAGGGAGAGAGAATCCTCAAGCAGAACCCCTGCTGAGTGCAGAGCCCGACACACCTGCCACCCCAGGACCCTGAGAGCATGACCAGAGCCAAAATCAAGAGTTGGATGCTTAACCCACTGAGCCACCCAAGCGCCCCTATCTGAGAGTTTTAAACAAATGATTTAACTATTTTAGAGTATAGCCTGAAATGAGGAAACATAGGAACAAAGGATTGATAGCATGCCAAAAATTATCCACTACTGGTATGAAAAGAAACTAGAATTTGACCTCAGGTCTAAGCTCATAGCTTTTGCTTCTTGGTTCTTTGGAACATATTTAGAATACTTTAGTGCCAAAATTTTATCATTTTTCCTTAAAAGGACTTTAAAACACCATTTTACTGTATTCTTACATAATATAGTATTTCATCTTGTGGATACTTTTTCTGAAGGAATGTATCTTCAATTTTATAGAGAAAATTGGTGGAAAATACAACCCAGCAGAAAATGCATTTTTCTTATAACCTTTTCTAGAATACAGCACTTATATTCTATTACGTGAAGGTCTCTGAAGGACTTCACTTTTTTAGAGCAAATAGGGATGATTAGAGGAAGATACAGCAGTTATTCCCTATCTCGTAACATACTGCAGAAGTGAAGAGATGACTTTCATAATTACGGATTCATAAAATTTCCAGGTTTTATTTTGGACATATAAAAATATAGGTTGGTTGGACCCTGAAACTTTGAATAACAATAGAGGTCATTTTTTTTTATAACTAGCCTCTTAAATATGAATGTGACTTGAGCTTATGAGACTGTGATTTTCACAGTCTGGATAAACATACATAATCCTATTCTCCAGCTTCTCCCTCCATCCCCTCACCCCCATTTATCAGGCCCTGTGCAGTGGGGAAAGTGGGACAGTCTCAGATTTCCACAGCATCATTTAACTCTGTAAAACCAAGTATGCCTTTCAGTTTTTGAAACCTTATATTTTATACCACACTTAAAAGATAGCTGGCTGACAAGAACAATTTAAAAATAGCAGACCATGGACAGGTGACAAAATGTCACGCTGGCAGCACCAGACTGCATTAACAAAAATCACCAGATGTCACACACTTGATTCTATTTTCACAGCTGATTAAGCAGCAGCAGTATTTGGTGGACAAAAGGAAGAAAAAAGAAATGGCCTCATCTGAATTTGGAATCCGTTTCTCTCTTGCTGTTATATATTTTCTCCTTCAAAATCTCATAATAACTATAAAATTTAAGATGCAAAATATATTAAGAAAAAACATAAAATAATTCTACTTTTAGAAAGGAATCTTTACACATAAACACTCCTTAAACTGGAAGACTATAAATCAAAATGTTAACAGAGCTTGTCTTTAATTGGTGATCTTATTTTTTGCATTTTTTTGTATCATCTATTCTTTCTCCGATGAAAATATATTGCATTTTATAATCTAAACATTAATTTTTGAAGAGGTAAAGAAAGTAGCTTAAAGAAGCCATAAGTGTGGTTTTACTAGAAAGAATTTGCATTTAGTTGTGAAACAGATTGTATTTAAATCATTGGTTCTGATGGGTCTGGCATGACACAGAGTCTCTTATAAAATCTTTTGTGGATGATGTTGATCCACATAGCCACTGAAGTCAGAAAGACTAACAGAATCAGGGAGGATACCAGGAAAGGCAAAAAGTTTTCTGCTTTTCAGCAAATCCTGATGCCTTCATCTACAAAACGTTGCCTAAGGCTCTTTTTTTTTTTGCTGCATCTTTAGAAAGATTGAATTGGAAGTCATCAGTGTGGGCTAGGAGACGATAATCAGAAAACTACTGAGCTTCCTCTCAGTTTCATCTTTTCAAGCTGAAAACTCCTAAGACCTGGAAAGAGCCCAAAAAGGACCCAGCTTCTGGAGGACTGCAGAGAGTGATACCCTTTAAGTGTGGGAACAGCAGTGCTTCCAGAAACATATAAAAACTATTATTTGATGTAGCGATTTTAAAACCACATAATTCTTTACCATAAACGATTGTAGCACGGTAAATAAAAGAAGTTTAATGAAGATCAACTAAATTTGGGCTTGCTTGGTTTTTGTTTTTGTTTTAGAGGGGGCAGGAAGGGCAGAGGGAGAGGGAGAGAGAGAATCCCAAGCAGGCTCCATGCTGAGCCCAGAGCCAGATGCCAGATGTGGGCCTCAGTCTTACGATCCTGAGATCATGACCTGAGCCAAAATCAGGAGTCAGATGCCCAACCCACTGAGCCACCCAGGTGCCCCAAGGCTTGTTTAGTTTTCTTGATAACCCTTTATTATTTTAGGGGACACTCCTGGCTTTTTAGAAACCACACCCACGTCTGAATATTCCTTGGTCAGAGATTGAAGAGACCATCTCTATATGCCATTTCCTTAAGTTCTGCTGGGTAGTGATTTTGAACTCTTGTTGGGTTTTTAGGCATCCTTTCCAGTGACTATTTACTGTTACATTTGGATATCTCAGAATACAATGAGTAAATCACATCTCGTTTTTATGGATGTTAGTATTTGGTGGTAATGAATCCAAAATAAGGTCTTGATTATCTGAAAATAATAGAATATTCATACAGCTAACTAAAACCACAATGTAAATTCTCCCTACTGAGCCACAAGCCTTATTCTCAGGACAAATTTTCCTATTACAGGTTTTGATCAAGGTGGTGTAGGAGGTAGCACTCGTTGCATATGGGGTAGACCATAATCTTTAGAGACTCTGAAATGACTTAGGAGATGGAAAAACATAAGACACAGAGTAATTACATGTATAGATACTGTTAAATGTATCTTTAAACAATGGGTAGTTTCTGAAACTCCTCACAATTAGCTTCTAGTAAGTATGAAAAGATCTATGAAATCAATAAAAAATAAAACAGGCAATTCTATTATTTAAAAAATGGCTCTTTACTAATAGGATGATTTTAAATATATTCTAAAAAATAATTTTACTGTAATATAAATGCTAGCAAAATAGTTTCCATAAAATTAGAGCTAGATGTATATAATATCTTTCTCCTAATAAGTTTAAAATAATAAAAACTAAAAATAATTTTTATTGACAGTCCTATAATGCTTCGTGGTAAAATTAGAATTATCTCCTTAGAATCCATCAATTGTTGATGATTTATCCATTCTTAATTTCTCTCTCTTTCTCATACACACACACACACACACACACACATCCAACAGTACAAACAACATTACACTTATGAGGGTTTTTTTCCCCTTATCCCTTAATATGAGATGACCTTTCAATAATTACTGTGACCTCAGGGTTTTTAAGAGATTAGGATGGCTTTGTCTAGGCAAAAAATTGATTTGGCTGAGAATTCATTATTCCTTTTTATTTGAAGCAAATGCTCTGTTTTGGCCACTGTGATTTTTCTCTTTTGGGCCAGAAGAGCTCGATAATGCTGTTTGCCTCCAGTACCCCACAACAGAGATTAATACCAAATGATGACTGACCTTTTGCAATTATTTATAACACTGTATTTGTTGTAAAAGTCAATCACTTCCACATCTCCAGCATTCTCTCTATCATCCCCCCATACTGTTGACATGTATTTAAACAGTAGTAATGACATAAAATTGACATTTTTCTGAGAATTTCATGATAACCTTTGATCTAATTGGACATGAAGACCTTTGCAGAACCAAGGTCATATGTATATTAGCTTTACACAAAAAGCACTGTATCAACAATTACTTTGTTGAAGAGCTTGGTCAAGAAAACCTAAATTCATTTTTTTCCATATAAGGCTCTCTGTTTCATCATTCTTTTACTATATCTACCTCCTTTTCCCAAATAATTCATGAAAAACATACCAATGGCGTGCATCTTCCACTCTTAACCCTGGAGGCTATTCGTTAAAACATGTTTCAGACTTACCATCTTACAGACCAGAGGTTGGCAAACTTTTGTCTGTAAGGGGCCAGAGAAAAAATATTTTAGGCCTGTGGTTCATATGGTCTCTGTCACATATTATTCTTTGTTTTTTAGTTTTTATTTTTACAACCCTTTAAAAATGTAAAAATGATCCTTAGCTCAGAGGTGTACAAAAACAGGCAGCCAGTCAGTGTGGGCAGACGTTTGAAAACTGTTACTATAAGAATGAAGGTCTGGGGGTAAGCATTATGCCCAAGGTCATAAAACTAGTTAGTGGTAGGGAAAGGATAAGAACCCTAGATTTTTAGGCGGGTCGTTTTTCCCCACTATACCTATCGTATAAATGTTACCATCTTTCTTCTGGTTGCCATTCTGATAATTATGTTGCATTTTTGAGCCACTGTGAAACATTTATCTTTTATTTCCTCTAAGCTTCAAGTTTATATTCATTATTTTGCTGCTTGAATTTGAAGGGCAGTATGAATGGTTGTTTAAATAAAATGCTTAATCCAATTAGCATGTTTAAATCGGAATGCGAGAGATGCTTTAAAATTTCAGTATAAGGGAAGCTTCTTTTTCATTTTGTTTTATTTATTTGTTATTGAGATTTTGGCTTTGTTTTTAAGATTTTTTTCATTTGTATGTTTTATGACTTGATTTAAAAACTGTTGTAACTGCTATGGCCTTGTTATAGATTATAGCATTGTTGTGGATTAATCTGTTTTAGCTTTTTATAATGTTTATCTTTTACAATGTATTTGAAATTATATTAAGCATTCTTTTCTTTGTGCTTAAAATAAAATTATTTTATTTTTTAGGACGCATGGGAATAAATTTCCATCATCCAGGAACAGATAATATTATGGCACTTAACAGTAAGTCTTCATATGAAATATTCTATAAAATTAGCAGTCAAGGCTACAGCATGAATTTTCACTTTCTTAATTGTTCATTACATTTCAACCTTCCACTTAGAGCGGGATGGACCATTATTCTATCCCTGTGGTTCTCGAAGTGGGGTCCCTGGACCAGCAGCATCAGCATCATTTGGGAACTTAGTAAAAATGCAAAATCTCAGGCCCCGCTACAGATGGGCTGCATCAGAAACTTTAACGATGGGGCTGAGAAATCTGGGTATTAACAAATTCTATAGGTGATTCTGATGCAGGCTAAAAGTTGAGAACTGCTACTCTGTACTAGGGGTTGACAAACTACAGCCCTTTGAGCCAAATCTGGCCCATTGGCTGGTTTAAAGTTTTACTGAAACACAGCTACGCCCATTCATTTATTTTTTGTGCCACAAAGCTAGCTATTTTTGTGCCACAGTGGCAGAGCCCAAAAAGCCTGAACTATTTACTATCTGGCCCTTTACAGAGAAGTTTGCAGACCCCTGCTGCATACCATTGGGGTGGGGGAAGGAAGGAGGAGAGGAAGAAAGGAGACAGGTGAAGGGAGAGAGAGGGAGTAAGGTAGAGAATGTGAATGAATAGATCAATTTATTTATATATAACTCAGACTTTTCTCATTTTGGTAGATAGCCAACAAGTGCTTCTAACTGGACATCAGGGGTCTCCCATTAGTGGAATTTGTGTGGTATAAGTGGTCAGCAGCTGTGCAGGTTAGAAATGGTTTTGTCAGTGTAATTGTTGGATTGAGTTCTGGAACATTAAAACCTAATTAACCAGAAAGTCATTGTATTAGTTAATACTGGAAGAAATGTCTGGCTGGCATCAGTTCTTCTTCCTAGTGTCTGTGGACCAAATAGCTTTGCAAAACAGTCTCTAAATAGAAAATGTCAGTTATTAGAAGGACCATAAAAGCCATTGAATCTCTCAGGACTTAGGTTTTTTTCCTCTGTTAAATGAGTGACAACAAATTGTTCCCTGTCATCCTCCCAGATGTACAAACTGACTGTGGATACACATGGGAGACATACTGGGTAAATCTAGGGATGTGTACAATATTACTCCTTTCCTTCCTACCATTGGAGTTCCTTAGGGCAGATTTTATCTAAGTTATCTCTAAAATACGTATTCCGCATTTCTTTTGGTTCTGACATGTAGCCTACCTCGCAGCGGCCACTGCTGAGAACCACTTGCAGAACTTGATGATGCAGGTCCTAATCCACTGCATGCGTATTTTGTTCTAAATAGCTAGTAGTATTCCCTCTTTTGGAGGGTCTTGGAAACTGTAAAAATTCCAGACTATCCACCTCTATTTTCTAATTTCTAAAAGAAAGGTCACTTTACCGTTAGATTATGGTACCTCTATTTTTTTTCCCTAGAATCAGGCACATTGGGGTGAGGATTAATAAACATGCTTAACTTGCTGAGCCTCAGCAGTTTTGTGAGTCTTTGTGGAAACACTTCAGTGAGGTGATGGGATCTAGAGTTGAATGTAAATGGAAAAAACAGTATGGTAGTATGTCTGTCTGAAAGGATGAATGTGTATTTTAGAAAAGACCTGATTTGCTGTGGTATGAGTCCTCTTTCGCAAGAGGGAGAGGATATAATTTACCATTGTTCTGTGTATAAAATGAAGCTAAAAGACACTTTTCTTTTTAAAAGGTTTTGATTCTCTTTGATTTGATTCTCTTTAATTCTCTGCTTTTAAATAAGATTTTGTTTATGTTCTTTCCAGTTTGTGCATGATGCTTAAATTCCTCTTTTAGCTTCTAAATTTCCTCATCTGTAAGAGAAGGGGACTGAATTAGGTCATCTTTAATGATTGTTTTCAGAATGAAGATTCTGAGTCTGTAATATATTTTTATTTTCTTATTTTTACCTTCTACTTTTACTATTTTTTTAAGTACGCTCTATGCCCACCCAGTGTGGGGCTTGAACTCCCGACCCTGAGATCAAGAGTTACATGCCCTAACGATTAAGCCAGCCAGGCGCCCCATGTAATATTTTCTTAAAGTACCAAAAGGGTCATTTTGCCAATATCTATATCAAATGTTGATGAATTATGCATATTTACTACATTACGGCAAATATGAGAGTATATCTATCTTCAAATGAGTCTGGGTGCTGCCCTGTAGGCTCCTCAAAGTAAACCATAAAAACAACCAGAATTTGACATTTGCTCTCTTTCAAAGTTGACGCCAACTTGAAATGATCAGAATAAACAAAATATCCTCCTTGGTAGATCCTTGTGAGACCTACAGATTTTGACAGACTTGCTGTGATAAAGCTTTTCTTCCCTTTTGTGTGGTTGAGCCTAACTCATCCGGTGACTTACATATGTGACACATGCACAAGCACATCTGGGTATTGTCTTTCCTTTTATATCTACCATTTGTCGGCCCAACAGTTATTGTCCTGTGACTTGTCTGTCCTTCCTTCCCCTCAGTGTTCATATAGACATAACTGAAATCACTGAAACTTTATTGGTGCTTATTGAAAGGGACAGGGTTGAATTGTATTTTCAGACAAGAAGGGACTGGCTGAGAAAATTAAAGACAATTGAATCAAGCTTAAATTTAAAAAAAAAGAAATGTCAGTTATAGTTCCTTCTTTGTTACCCTTTCTTACTTTATTTTTTCCCCTTTTTTGCTTTACAAAATCTATGCTTCCTAATTCTGTACATAATGCTGCCATTCATTGTGTCTTCAAAAAACTTCCATCCTTATTTTATTTCCTTGACCTTACCAAACCGAAATCTCTTCTGAAGACACCGTGTTCTAACCTCTCCTGACTTGAGGGGAATGACAGAGGTGCCATGGTGAGAATTCTCACTCCTCAGTGCTACTTCCCAGCTTTGAGTGGGCCAGTTTCCCATGTTTTGGTGTTCTTAGAGCATGTCTTCCAGTTATACTTTCCTCTGAGAATCACTGCCCCTGATGTCATCAAGAAGACAGAAAATGGGAGTGGAGGATAGGATACTAACTTTAGAAAATGGTAACCCTATAGACATGTAGGGTATGGAAGAACTAGCAAGATTTGTGTGAAACCAAAGAATCTACTGATTTTTCCTATTCAAGACCATGAATCTAGTAAGAATTAGCAGGCCCGCCTTTGGGGAGGAAACTAAGAGACACATCTAAATTGTGGCTTTTCCCCAAAATATTAGGTCCTTAAGCATTATAGAGTATGGAAGGGACGATTGGGGGAAGAAATTCTGATCCATCAGTGAGGCCTGCCACTTGTCTGGTATTTCCAAAATAAAATTAGTTCTGAAGCAATATGTCCCTTCCATTTAAACTGGTAATATATTTTTTCTTAACTTTGTAATAATTCTGTCCTTTCATCTCTTCACATTTACATCAAAAACACTAGAAGTTTGCATAATGTATTTTTATTTTTCCTGCTGGAGGAGGAAGGAGGCTACTGAAAATGCTTCCAGCTATATATGTAGTAGTTCTATCAGTCAGATTTTTTCTAACACCAGCAGTACCTTTTCGTTTTGTTTTGTTAAACTCTTAGGTATGGAGTTGAGTTTAGCAGTTGTGGCCTTGTATAGGATTGATACCTGATTTTGGTGATTTTTCCTCTATTATGATGATCCTCTGAAAAGGATATTGGTACCTCCATGATTAGTCAGGTGAACCAAATTTATGGTCAAATTAGTGTTCAAAACCAAAATGCCTGGTCTGGTAATTTACTCTAAGAGATAATCACTGCCAAGTGTATCTACTTTATGTTTCTTGACTGGTCAGCTCTTCTTTTTCCAAGTAGAGATTGGGCTTGGAAAACCAGTTTAATATCAGAAAGTTCCTTGGTGATATGAAATTGGATACAGGGAGAAGTGTTGCAGAAGGGGTGGATCATTCAGCTTCAAGAAAGCATCCTCCAAGCAGGCTGGAAGGCATGCAGAACCTGAGGATGGAACAGTAAATTAGCATAGCCAAGAAAAGCAGTTCTGCTTCTGTGCCTCACAAGCCATATGACCTTAGGGCCACATTCTTCACTCCTCTGCCTCTGGTTTCTTCCCTAGAAAATGGAGATAGTGACCACTGAAGTGGCCATATATAAATCTTGTAAAGCTTAGCATAGTGCCTGACTAGGAGATAATGCTCTGGTGAGCTGTTGTTGTGATTGCTTGCATCAGCTTTATTGCTGCCTTTTAAAGATTTTTTTTTTTCCTTGCGTGTGACTTCCCAAACATGAGTCTATATTATATTGGTTGTTTTTAAATAAAGGTTTTCCTGATGTGATTTAAGGCAGCACACCTACGAGTTGCTCATAAGCTACAATGACTGTACCAGGGTACAATGCCACTTCTTTTTTTATGAATCTTTTTTTCAGTATGAAATGCCTTCTGCCTCTGTCCCCTGACTTTGGGACATGCACCTTCTTTGCGGCCTAGAGTTGCTCCATCTCTAGTGACGTTTGGCACCTTAAAGGTGCCATACTGTAATTTTTGTAATGTAAAATGGCGTAGTCGTTTTAGGCTACATTTTGGCAGTTTCTTAAAAAGTTAAACATATACACACGCAAAGTTAAACATACACCTACCATATGATGCAGCAGTTCTGCTCCTAGAAATTTACTTAAGAGCAAAAATGAAAATATATGTCCATATAAAGATTGTATGCACATGTTCAAAGCAGCATTATTCATGATTGCCAAAATTATAAATAATCCATATGTTTCTCAATTGGAGAATGGATAAACAAATTGTGGTACATTGATACAATGGAATACTTCCAGCAATAGAAGGAAGTGAACTATTGATACATGTAACAACATGAATGACTCAAAATAATTATGCTGAGTTGAAAAGCTGGACAAAGAGTATGTACTAGGTGATTCCATTAATATAAAATTCTAGAAAATGTAAACTAATATGGAGCTTCAAGGATATTTTGAAGTAATATTGTCTCCCTTTTTTCAGAGGACCTATGTAAGGGCTTAGATCTTGGAGGAGTCATGTG